CTAAGTATTCTTTAGAGAGTATTTACTTTTGTTTAATTTACTCATCAAACTTAATTCAGCTCTTAACAATGCACCTTAACCTAATTTCTCTAAAATGAATCAAATCATAAATAATTTAGCCACTGGCTGAATTTAGGACAAGCATACATATGATGTAATCATACATTGTAGGAAAAAGATTATAAAACCAATGCTTTGCACATAAGGAATCCTCTTGACGCATAAAATTTGCATTTTTGTGTTATTTACAATAATGTTAATAAATGGTTCAGATCAATAGCTAATTTTAGTCAACATGTAGCTCAAAATTGTGCCCTTCTTCATAAGAAAATTGGTCATTGTATCGTATTGTTCTCACCAACACTATAATCTCTTTAGTAGTTCATATCAGTGTTACGTAGGCAATGTTTTCATTCACTTGAACTTATGCTTTTTTTCTCATGTGGGTATGAAAAGTGATAATATTTATTTATAAAGACGTTTGTTTCAGCCAAAATATGTGATGCAAACGCACTGATGAGCGTACTACTATTTAGTTCTACACTTTTTATTATGCATAGGGCGAAACTAATGAGAAGGACATATGAATTCCTGAGAAGCTACTCAAATGACCTTCACCCTAATACGAAAGAAAATTTTAAACTACATCAACGTAAAATTTCCTGAGCTTGGAATCCAAACAGATTTTTATTTTTTGCTAGAATATTATTGCATTTGATGTTTGAACATCAGGCCCTATACAGTGTCCGCTACGGTTATTTGGAGATCTTTTAAACGCCGTTTGGTTTAATACCCTTTAAAAATATTATATAATGGCATTAAATTGCAAGCATTCAATACTCTTTCGTTGTGAACCTGCCTAATTCTTATTATGAAAAACAGCAACAGTTCTTATATTAGTTCTCTTCTAGCCTATGATAATTAATAGTAGTTGTCTGACCTTGTTTTCGCAACTTGGTCATATTGGCAGGAAGGCCTAGAGGAACACACCTTGTCAGCAGTACATAGTATGCATGATAATTTCCAGAGTCGGTCGGGGGACTTGGCACATTTCCAAACGTTTTGCTGGCATCGTAGTCGACATCATCAGTGATCCTTTGACAAATTGTCTATTAAACAGCTGTGGTATCTCTCCTTCTCTCTTGAGCTATTCAACTATCCTATATCCTTTTACCATCCCTTCACTATCACAATTTATTAATTGCTTATTTAATTGTGGCATAGAGTGTCCTTTTGAGCGAATTTCATGAGACTACTTCACAACCCAAACAGGCTTTCTCACCCCAACCTCACTACATTTGTGCTGGGAACGTTGATCTAAGTCTGCCATATTATTCGGCAATCCTCTTCCCATAAGTTCTATCAGATTCTCCCTCTTGTCCATTAGCATCCGTCTCCTATCTCCCTGGTTCAGGTATTACACTTCACTCCTGCCACTATCTGTGTTACTCGAGGCCTTATTTCCAACATTCTGCCTCAAGCCTTTGATGGCACGTATACTCCCGCCTCGCTGAATAGGCCCCACAAAGTCTGAATTGTCAAGCTGGATGGGCGACTAACTTGAGGCTATAGATTTCGAGTAATTCTTACCGCCAAGCCCTTGCTTCACTGTTAACCAACCAGTTCTAGTCTCCGCCGCACCTATGATGGTAAGTCTATGACCTATGCACTACAAATGTTGCGGTTTTACTTGTTTTGATTGGGCTCACTGAAGACGTACCCTCTTGGCTTCTGATTGTTCATTTCTGGTCTCCTTGCGATTTATTTTCCTAAAATTAAGGATTTTACCTTGATCCATTCGTCTTCTTTCTGATGATCTTACTGTTGGCTGATATTCTTTGAGTTTGTTTAGGCAATATGCAAAGTCTTCGCTGATCCTGCCTTCTTCAAGTCTCATGTTCATTAGCTTTATCTCGGTCAGTATTTCAATGGCCTCTTGGATCTTGCGTTTTCTCGTATTTTCACGATATGCAACCAACCTTTCTGTTGATTTCGTGTCCCGTTCATGCAACGTATTCCGCTAAATTGGTTCTTTCCTTATCCATGTTCGTGCAGAGTCTTTAATTTTCATTGATTAGTTTGCCGATTATTCTTCCTGTTTCACCGGTATACTTCTGCTCACAGTTGCCGCATTTGATGCAATAAATTCCCGAACAATCCAGATTGTCCGTCTTCTCGTATTGCGTTGACAGACTGGTGGATAGTGCTGTCTTCTCTTTTTTTATCACCTTGATATTCCATTTTCTTAGTGTAAGTCGTAATTTTCGACTCACTTCATATGAAGACAGGCATATTCACTTTTGGTCATCATCCTGATTCCGAATCGGATTTTAACACATTCCTAGCTGAAAACTGCTCTTTAGGGCACCCACATTTCTTTTTATAAATTATCTGGGGTATCCGTTACTAAAGTGAATCCTTGTCCCAGATCTCAGTTTCTGTCATTCTTAAGCTTCTTATGTTCAAACCTCTTAGTATTCGCCAGCCTGTAGTTATGGCGAAACTGAAAAGTGAGGATTATTACTGCATATGCATTTTTATGAATAGTCTGAATGTTGAGGCCATGTGCTCCATCGGGACACTCATAAAGATAGTAATCAGAAAAAATTCATATGCGATAATAATCGTTAATTTTTAGTCTCACCTGGGTGGAAAATTCTTTAGAAATCAAGACTAAGTGAAATGTAGTCGCGTCGTGATATCTACTCATTTTATTTGTAAAGTTCAACTATAGGTCCTTAACGACCTAGAGCCAGTCAAATTACTAATCAAGATCTATTCATATTTGACAACATATTTTTTATTTTTATAATATTGATCCAAACACATTTCACTTTTGTTTGAGTGGATTTTACGTAAACAAACCATTATTTTTCAATTTTTGAAGCTATTATTTTTTCGATATTACTTCCATTTCTAGTGGAAGTGTTTGATGAAGAGATTCGCAGGTCGATCCGACCAACAGACGATGGCGGATTACTCTTAGTTGGAGCACTCTCATTGATGATGTTTCCGAGGTAATTTCCCTCGATTCCAGCGTAAACGTGCAAAGGTTTAGTCCGTCGTATTGAGAACATCAACAGAGCAGGATATCATCCTTATAGCCAAATTCAAGCTTACGAGTCAAGAAAACCGACCGGCTCATCCCTGAAAAGCTGTATATATAGCCTATATCTGAGCTCTTTGCTGAGGTATAAAGTGATTTGATTTTCCCAGTCATGTGTCAACCTCGGAGCATGTGGGTGTGTATGTCTCTTTATGTGTATGTCTGTAGGTATTCGTATATGTACGAAACCAGCAGTGATGGCTTAAAGTAATAAGAACAGGAAAAGTGACGTCTGTTCTCAACCATCAAGGTTTGCTGACCACCATCACCCCCTCTCTATATTTATGTTTTAACAATCACTTAGACTGCGCCGTCGCCTTCTGGTTGGATCGATCTTCGAACCAAACACTTTCACTCGAAATGGAAGAGAGCTTAACAATCATAAAACTATAGATTCGTCGAAACTCTACTTTTCTTCGCATATTATTTTTTGGCTAGTGAGTAGCGTAATTGTAGTAGTATATCAACAGATAAAGATATTTTGCCAATAACGTTGATTAGTATTGAATGATAATCAGCTTCTTCACGATGAATTATTTGTTCTACGATTAACATCTGGGCTCTCAAACAATAAAATCCATAACTCCTATAATCTTAACATCTCTTTATTAAATCTCATTCACTTTTTTGACAATTTTCGTTTGCCCTTCCTAAGACCAGATGCTCACTTAATAAAAGGAACAAGCTATTATTATTTTTCGATATTTTAACTAATCAATAACGATTAAAGCTAAGAAAATAAATTTTTTAACATTACATAAATTACTATGTTTCGAGCTATTCTTACACGCTCATTAATATTAAAAATAACTTTCATTAACTAGTATTTTGAATAATATACGGTTTTAAATATAGAATTAGATACTCTGAATCCTTTCATTAAATATTCTTAAGCCACCACAGCGAAGTGTTCTATACTCAAGGCCCGAAACAAATAATAGATGTTGTAAAATAAATCTTAATATTATCAGCGATTTTTAGGATTTAGAAATAAAAATATTTCCAACTCATTCTCTTCCTCCATTTAATATTACATTTTTCCAGTTTTTTATGAACAAACTCCATTTGTTAAGCCGATTTATGGTTCCAGCTCACAATAATGTGTGAATTTTTAAATATATCTCCAGGTCTTTAGAACTTTTTTGCTACTAATAATGTTAAGTAAACTTGATAAACGTATAATATCAGTCAATTTTGTTAAGTTGTGAAGTTTAACTGATGTCATTTAACAGTTAACAACTACCTCACTTATTTGGTTGCTTATCGTATAATTTTTGTGATTCAGAATACCTGCTTACAAGACTTAAACTTTTCGATAATTTTATTAAATCCAACAGTTAAAACATAGAGCAGTGATTTATAATCTTGTATAACGAAAATTATTACACTTATTGAATAAATTAGAGTATCCTTGCTTGATTTAAAGATAGTTCTTTTCATAAAATAGTTTTGTAAATTATAAATTTCGCATTTTTCACATAAATTCTACTTAACACATCTCTGGTCAAACTAATGAAAAATGATGCAGAAATGCTCTCTATTTGATTGCTTTCCGTAAGGATATTTGAATTTCATGAAAGGTGCTTGGTTAACGACCATACTATGCTTCTTTCACTCGTTGAAGCTCTCTCACACCGTTGTCCTCATTAGCCCAAGTTCTAATCTAATTTTCACAATTCGTGTCCTTTTTATTTGTGGTATTTTGAGTCACTTCTTAGTAAATCTCCTATATAGTGAAGCCATATTACCGCAAAGCCCACTTTGGGCTAATTAAGTAGTATCTTTTTATCCACGAAGCTGTATAGGATTAGACAAAATTGTAACCTCAATTCGTTAACTTGCCTTCTCCTTTATTACATTCCGCCAACCCTTTACAATACTTTTATTCCTGTTTATGCTCTTTCAGAGGCGACTTCACTTGCTATCTCAGTCCCAGCCTCACCTGTCACCTATCCATATTCCCTTACTCTCTTCGAGCTTGGAAGTCTCCAGACCTTCTGAGAGCCGCAGTCCCTCTAGAGCAACCACCGAGCCTTCAGCCACTTCAACTTCTATGGTGGATGTTGGACGCAAAGGTAATGGTCTCAGGCAGAGCAACTCTCCGTCCGCGATTGAGGCTATTCCTCACTCCCCATCAAGCCCTTATAAAGCCGTCCAAGCTGCCAGGTCGCTGTTTGTAAGTGAGCATCACTCTACACTGACCCAGCCTGTAAAGTACCTCAACTTATCTCCCTCATATTCACCTTTCCGATTGGATCCGACTGTCACCTGCCAGCAATCGTTAGAACCTCCTCCTCTTTGTCATAATCCGCCTTTACTCTCCTCCCTGCAGAACCAAAAGGGACAGGACTCTTTTTGTGAGCGATGGCAGAATACAGTTCTAGCGACTACTCCGCCGCAGATCCTGTTGGCTGATCCGGTTTCCTCCGTTTCGCGTGAAAAGGGAGTTTGGTCCTCAATAAAGATGAACCCTCCTTTATCACCAAAAAGCCAACAGCCCATATGGCCAGAGACTAGATATTCTGGTCGTCTGTCCACTTCTTTCCCATTTTACTCAATTCCCAAAGACAGGGCTACTGGAATTGAGGCCAGCGTGCTCCATTCTTCCTCACAAGCGCCAATGCAATTCCCTTCCGGACCCTGGCAGCAGAAGCATCCAAGACATTGGGACATTGACCCTCCTCTTGAGACCTCTACTGGTTACATTTGCCTTACTCAGTTTAAAAGAGAACGAGCTTCATTGCCAGCCAAAATATTATCGGAGCCAACAGCAAAGCAGCATCACCATCAGGATTTGGAATCAGATTGTAACAGCATGCTTTCCTACGTGAATATGGGTCCAGCCGACAAAGGAATTGAGATGAAGGCTGGATTATCAACTACAAATCAGCTTCCTTTGCATTTGCTCGAGGTTGTGGCGACTTCTCCTTCTTGCTATGCTTCCTCTCTCGACAAGAGCAATTGGGAGGGCCTTGGCGAAGCTTCGGTCGAAATGGCAGCCGAATGCGCCCTAGTTCCTCTGATACAGGAACTTGAATCAGGGCGAAGTGGAACTTGCAGCAGAAGCTTCTCTAGTGAGTTGTCCTTATTCTATTAACCAAGACATGATTTTACAAAAGCCTATGGCGAATCTCTCCTCATGCCTCCTCTAATGCTACAATTTCACATTTTACCAGCCAGATGGCAATTTCATCTCCTCACTTAAATTCTTATCTTCATGATCACTTTAAACCATATTTACCAACCCATCATCAACTTCTATTCTTATTCTTATTAATCCTCACTTGACACAGCGGAAAGACAGATTAAATGGCAAAGCTAAGCGATGATTGTTTGAGAACGGCAAAAGCACAAATGTTTGCAGCTCACTAAGTCTTGCTGATCAGGATGCCAGTGTTTGGGGTACCACGGGCTTCACACTTAGCCTTACATTTGCTATCATTCGGGCCTTGCTTTCTTCTACGTTATTACTAGTGGAGACAAGCTTGATTATAAGAGAAAAATATAAAATCTTAATATGCCTCAGATCCGAGCTTGTTTATAATATCTTGAATATGGAAATGTGATAATTTTAAAACTTATCTATTTTGTTTGTGCTTATTTGGTCTTCTGCTTGTTAACTGGGGCGATAATAGTTTTATAATCATTATTAAAATATAAAGCTATCCCAAAAGGCTCTATTTTAAAAGTTAAAAATATTAGG